CATAATTTAAGAAAATGCTAAGTTTCAATTAGAGCTTAGTGAAAATAAAGGTATATATTTTTTCCTCCCCTGCAAGTTCACATTGTTCCTGTAATATATCCATGGACCCCTGGGGGGTGCATGGAGCCCAGGTTAAGAATTCTCAATTTGATGCAACCTTTTCATTTTTCAGAGGAGGAAACTGAGGCTTAGGTGAAATGATCATATTGCTTGCCTTCTCAATGGGTGGGGAAAAAGCGAGAAGGGAGGAAAGAATTTGGAGCTGAAATTATTTAAAATGAGTGTTTAAAATAAAGTATATTTAAGAGAGAGAAGGGCATAGGGAGATAGAGGAGAGAGAGAAGAAAGGAGAGAAAAGGGGAGCGAGAGAAGGGAGGTAAAAGGGGAAAGAGGAGAGAGATAAAGGGGGAAGGGGAGAGAGAGAAGAGAGAAAAGAGGAGAGAGAAGAGAGAAAGAAGAGAAGAGAGAGGGGAGAGAGAGAAAAGAGAGGAGAGAGAAGAGGAGAGAGAAGAGAGACGAGAGAGAAGAGGAGAGAAAGAGGAGAGAAGGGGAGAGAAAGAGAAAGAGGGAGAAGAGAGAGAGGAGAGAGGAGAGAGAAGAGGAAAAGAGAGAGAAGAGAGGAGAGAGAGAGAGATGTGAAATGATCCTACGTCAAATAGTGCCTGAGTAGCAGGACTATGGGATTTGAATCTATGTTTTCTAACTTCAAGGTCATCACAGCAGGAGCCAGTAATTTCCATAGGAAGAGACCATCCAGTGCCCTAAATAACAAACAAAACCCAAAACAAGCCCTTCCCTTCTGCTGGCTGATGTCAATAACTCCCTTTCTAGGAGACAAAGCCTCAGGCTCCTTAGTGAGACAGGAGTCAGCCTGTTGAAGTCCAGTGGTCCTCAGAATCACAGGTGTCAGGACCCCTTTACATCCTTGAAAATTATTGAGAAACCTCCTCCCAAAGAGCTTTTGTTTATATGGGGTATAGCTACAGATCTTCACCACATTAGAAGTAAATGAATCTTGGTATTATTATGAAAATCATTTTGACCTTGTGGACCCCCTGAAAGGGTCCTGGGGATCCCTGGGGGCTCACACCTCACTTTGAGAACAGCTGGCACAGTGGAATGAGTCAGGATTCGGAGTCAGGAGACCAACATTAGCTCTGGTGTTTACAGGGGGTTTGTGCTTGGGTAATTTTACTGAATCTCTTTCAGCTTCCATTTCCTCCGCTATGACATGGAGATAATGACACTTGCATAGCCTACCTACCTTTCAGGGCTGTTCAAGGAACCCCAGAGTCCTGGAGGGGCAAAGAACCTCAGAGCACATCTAACCTGACAGACACATTACTGGGAATTCTCTCTACAACATCTCCAACAGATGGTCATGCAGCCTCTCTGTAGGAAGACCCCGAGTGATGGCTAGCTTACTGCAGTCCAAGCCAGCCCATTACACTTTGGGACTGCTTTCATTGTTAGGAATTTTTTCTTACTATTGAATTACAAGCAGGTGTAGTGGATAGAGAAGTGGAGTCAGAGTCAGGAAGACTTAGGTTCTAGTTCTATCTTTGTCACATACTGAGTATGTGTGACCTTGGGCAAGTCACTTAACTCCCCCCCGCCCATTCTACAACTTTCTATAAAGTGCAGAGAATGTGCTGGCCTGCCTTGGTAGAGGAAGTTCCCCATAATATCAAAACCACAGTTTAGTCCTTATTTCTACTGAACCTCTCTGTAACTTCCCTTCATCCTGGGCCCAAGTGGAATAAATCCAATCTGTCTTCCACATGATGGCCCTTCAGATGCTTGAAAATACTGATTATACTATCACAATGCTAGGGTCCTTTCAATAAAGATAATTATGATAACAGCAATAATTCCATCATTGGCATCTTCTTTCCTCTATCCCTTTCTTGCACAGAGGTGAGCTGGGCTCTGCCAATGGAACACCAGCCCTTCTAAGTCCTCGCCATGCTGACCAGACCTCCAGGATGGGCCGGGAGATGGAGGGTGTGCCTCTGGTCAAAGGGCCAGCCAAGCCAAGTGCTCGGGGCTAGAGTAGCGGACAATGGTTGGCCAGTAAGGTTGAGGGTTTTTTGGCCATAAGCCAGAAAAATTCAAAATGTCTCCACACTCTCCTCAGTGGAACCATCTTCCACTTCCGTGAGGAATTCGCCCAATGGATGGAACTCTTGGGGTTCAGAGAAGGGGACAAAGGCTACAAAGACCCACACCCTGGAGCAGAATGATGCCAAACTGGAGGAACTGAGCCACGCGCAGACAGACAGCAAAAAGTCCATGGGCACCCCCACAGAAGCTTGGAAGAAAAAAGCTGGCACAGTAGAGAAAGCAGATTTGGCATGCAAGTTCCAGCTCTGCTACTTAGGAAGCATGAGTGATGGCAGGCAAGTCACTACCCCTCTCAAGGCCACAGATTCTTACTTAGCCAAATGAGGGTATACAGCTAAAGCAGAGGTTCTTAACCCTTTGTGTGCCATGGACCCCTTTAGCAGGCTGGTGAAGCCTATGGACCTTTTCTCATAATACTTCTTAAATCATTTAAAATAAAATGTTAATTTCATAATCTTAAATTTCATTAAATAATTTTCAGTAATTGATTTAGATTTATTTATAATTTGATCATTTGAAATATTTAAAAACAATTTTTAAATGTATCAAATACAAAGGACACAAAGGAAATATATAGATATTTGGTTATCAAAAAATTTATTTTTCATAAGCATACAGACCTTAGTAAAGCAACCTTGATCCGCATGATGAATGAAATCCCCTTCAATTCTAAATTCTATGATCATATAGGGGACTCTGTATTCTCTATGGAGGGTTTATGGAAAGATGTGGAGAAGAATCCCACAGGATAAGATGTGAAAGAGTTGAAAATCTCACCAGTCTGGGAGTGCTCACATGGATGAGACCACAAAGCCATCAAAAAATAATAAGCCAAGCCACTTTGAACCAAATAAATGGGAGGTTAGGGGTTCAGAGAAGGAAGGGGTGAGGGTATGGGAGATGGTTGAGGGGGATGCTAGTGTGCTTTTGGATCTGCTCTAAAAGCCATATTTCTAGATATTTGCCACATGAGCAGACCCTCCTCTTTCCCTTCTTTTCCCTCCCCTTCACCATCCACCAGGAGTGAGGAGTTCCCCAGGATCTCCCAATCCAAACTCTGCCAGGGATTCTCTGTGCAGCCTTCGATAAATCCCTTCCCCTCCCTGGGCCTCTGCAAAGTGAGGGAGCTTGACAAGAAGATCTGAAGGCCGATTCCCTGGCCAACATTCTCTGATTTAGATCGCAGCAATGGATGAATGCCACACCCTTGGCCAATGATAATAATTTCACTTTTTTTTTCATAATGCATTAGAATCACAAAGAGGTGATAAAGAGAATGACTACATCCTGTGTGCAAGGCAAACAGACCACAAAGACCATTTTTCCACTTTGCAACAAAAGCTCGGATCACTATCCCATAGGGATATACGGATAGTTTCTAATAAAGCATCAATCAACCAATAACTCACTTCCAGTTAGGAGATCATGAACCTGCCATTTTGTTTGCCAAAAATGCAATCAGTAAGATGAATGCCACCTCTACAACTGTTTGGAGGCAGCCATGACACTAATCCACGTTTCCTTATCTCTACAATTGGTGGGGTGAACTTAGTCTCGAAGGCCTAGATAGTCCTGACATTCTATGTTGCATGTTCTAACTTTCCCTGTTCTAGGGCCTTTCTAGCTCTGACATTCTAGGTCCTAAGTCCCCTCGAAGCTCTTCCAGTTCTGACGTATGATTTTGATCTCTTCCCTGGGGCTCACTCTTATCCCTCTCCCAAAGGCAATGGTTTACCTGTAAGTGCTTCCAGAGATCTCCTCTCTTTCTCCCACCCACCTTAATTCTTAGAAACATCCAGAATGGCAGTAGTTTCAGGAGAGATCACGGTTCCAACTTAAGACAATAATACTAATCCTCCACATGGCTGCAGTGCTTTACTGATTACAAAGCACTTCCCTATCTCCTAATTCAGTGTATCCTCATAACATTCCCATGAGGGAGACAGGGAAAGTTGTTAATAGCAATTTACAAAAAAGAGGAAACTGAGGCTCAGGGGTAAAGCAGCTTCCTGGAGGCCACAAAAATGAGTCTGTAGCTAGGCTCAAATTTGATCTGTGATTCCCAGTCCTGGGCATTTCCAACTAACTCAACTGACTGCCTCTATCCAAGGTTACAGGGTGGACCTGGGACCTAGAAGCCTGACCTCCTTAACTGCTGAGGAACAAAGATGAGATACCCCAAATAACCAGGACTTAAATTTGTATAGCATTTTGTGGTTTACACTTTCCCAGTTTTTATTTCATTTGACCCTAGAAAGAGACCTCAGAGGCTGCCGGGGAAAAACTATATTGTCCTCATTTTAACAGAAGAAGAAGCTAAGGCCCAGTGAGGGGAAGAAATTTTCCCAAGGTCACACAGCAAATCAGTGGCAGATCCAGGATCCACACTGAAGTTAGAGAATCACAGCACAACAGATTGTGAGACCTGGAAAGATCTTTGGAATGTAGAATATGGAATGTCACAGATGGAGGGACCTTAAACAGAATATAGTCTAGCCCCCTTTTACAGATACAGAAAACTGAGGCCCAAGGACAGGATTTGCCCAAGGTCACACAACTAGTTAGTAGAAAAGCTAAGATTAGTACCTGGTGTCTGCTGATTCTGCCTTCAGTACTATTTCCACTACACATAGACTCATAATTCCTTAAACTCCCGCCCCCACCCCTCTAATAAATTTTTTAAAAATTAAATACATAAATACAAGCCTGAAGTTTGCGGCAGGGTAAAATGAAGAGTGATGGGGCTTGCCCAGTCGCAGCGATATGTTAAAGCACGTCCTCCTTAGCTCGGTATTAAACATTTCCTCCCGAGCCGACCCCCGAGCACTGCTGTTTGTCCAAGCCCGGCAGGCCATTGGAAACTTTGGAATACTCACAGCCACTTAATCGCGTAGCCAAGACCGGTCTGCAAAACCAGAGACAGGAAAACCGTCCAAAGAAACTGCACCTTCGCCTTCATTTTCCACGGCCCCCAATACTCCCAAGGTCAAACACTCCTCCCCGGAGGGAGAGAGGGAGGCTTTCCCCAAACGGACTCCTCTCGGGCTCGGATACCTCGCTCTCAGGCTGGTCGTCTTTGGTCCGCAAGAAAACCTAAGAGCCAGGCAGAGATCGGAGCTGTGGTTAAAAACGGGGCTTGGGGCTGGGGGGTGTGTTATTCAAATTGCAAAGGAGGGGCCTGTGAATTGAGAACAGGGAGGGCTCGGCGGGGTGTGTGTCTCTTCCCCCCCAACCCCCCACTTCTGATAGAACCTTTATAGCCAACAAAGACAGTGCACGTATGGGTTGAATTATGTCTTGCATTATACGACTGATTGCGTGTTTCTATTTAACTCTCCATATGGTGAACCTTCCTTACCGATCCAGTTTTTTACAACGTTATATGTACGAATGTGTGTGTATGTCTAAGTGTGTGTATATGTGGGAAGGAGGAAGGGAAGGAGGAAAGGGGGAGGGAGAAGGAGAGAGAGAGAGAGAAAGAGACAGAAAGAGAAGAAGGAGGAGGAGGAGGAGAGGAAGGAGAAGAAAGAGGAAGAGGAGAGAAAGAGAGGAGAGGAAGAAAAAGAAAGGAGATGGAGAGAGAGGAAAAAGACAGAGAGAGGGGGAGAGAAAGAGATAGGGAAAGCAGAAGAAAAAGTAAAAAGAAAGAGGAGGGCGCGAGAAATAAAAGGCAAGAGAAGGACCTGTGGTGTCGTGGGAAAACCACTACATTAGAAATCCAAAGACAGGTTCCAGTTCTAATTCTAACATTACCTTGCTGTGTGCTCTTGAGGAAGACATCGAACTTCAGGTCTGAGTTTCCTCTTCCATAAAATGAGGAGACTAGACCTGATCTCTAAAGTCCCTTTTAGTGCTGAAATTCCATGACTCCATGATTCTATGGGAGACTGAGGGAGGGAGCCTACTGACTCACTCTAGCCTCCATTCCATCACTTATTAGGCACACGATGACATGAACATGAGATCATAGTATTTAGAGCTGGGAAGGATCTTAGAACACTACCCTGGAGCTCAAAGGAACTATAGAACATGGGATGTTAGAGCCGGAAAGGACCCGGGAGATTATCTAGCCCAATTCCCACATTTTATTAATGAGAAAACTGAGACTAAGGGAGGGGAAGCTACTTTTTCAAGGTCACACAACTAGTTCTGAGACTCAGGCTCCCTAAATATCAAATGGAGACAATAATCCCAAATCCTACCTACCCCACAGGGCTGCTGCTATGATCCATTGGACAGAGGATGGGGAAGACGCTTTTAGGAGCATCTACCCACGTGTCAGGAGAAGAAAGGAACCAAGGTATGTATGTATACTGACATTCACACATCTCCTCCTCTCTCGGGGGGATCTACACGAAATAGCAAAGAAACAAATCTCAAATTCACCCAGCTCAAGCCGAATCTTCAGCTAATGTCTCTTCTCTCTATTACCCCCCAATCCCAATTTTCGAGGAGAAATGAAACGCGCATCCATCCGTGGACTAATGGCGGTGCCCTTGCTCCGCTGATACAGGCTCCCTCTATGCTTTCCTTCACACCTGATTAACTCTGCCTGGCAGCCTCTTCCAAATTTACCCACACCTGGGATGAAACTGCAACTCGAGGTCAATCAAGACCCAAGAGCCCTTTGTCCTGGGGGTCCGGGTGGGGCAGGTGTGGAGGACTTTGAGTTTAAAGATGTTTGTGGGGGGGGGCGGGGGGACATTAGTGGTTTTAGTTTTAAAGAATCTGAGTAGGGGACTTTTATTTTTGCCTCTGTGTCCCCAACACCCAGGATTGTGCCTGACCCATAGTAGGCACTTAATAAAAGCTTGTTGATTGACTGAGTTCTAGTTTCTTTCACCCCCATCTGAACCTCTTCCATATTGAATTATTAGAATAAGAGATTAAGCATGCACATTCAGAATTGGAAGAGAAACCATCTAACTCAACCCCTTCATTGTATCCAGTTGGAAACGAAAGTTCAGAAATGACCAAGGTCACACAGCTAATTATGCAGCAGAGCTGAGATGTGAGCACACGAGTTGTGACTGTTCTGACTAGAAATTTAATGTCCTCTCCACCACACCACCCTCAACCACCCAGTCTCAAGCTGAATTACTTAGGATGTTCTCTATCTTCCATTCCCTGATCAAAAACAATATTGCACAGGCTGGCCATGGTTCTGGAGAAGGAACCAGAAATCCCATTTCTGGGGTCTACAAAGAATGCTGGAGCCGGAAGAGACATTAAAGGCAAAATCTAGTCCAACCTCCTTGGGTTTTTTTTGGTTTGTGTTTGTTCTTTACAAAAAAAGAAAATGAAGAACAGTGTCTTTCTCCCAGGATACCCACCAAGGCAGGGGCAGCGTGGAATACTAGAATGCAGGTCTCCTAACCCCCAAGCTCAGTGCCCCACATCTGCCTCCAGCTAAATAGTGTCTATCCCCAGAAGAGAAATCTCTGTCTAGGAGGTGCCCACTAGAATTCTGCCTGTCTTAGTCCTATCCAGATCATAAAATTTTAGGGTTGGAGTTATCCCTCAGACTAAAGTCCTTATTTTGACAGATAGAGGAAGCTGAGGTTTAGGGAAGAAAAGTAACTTGCCCAAGATCATTAAATCAGTGAAAGAACTAGGATTGGAACCCAGGGTTTCTGACTACAAATTCAATTCTCTTTCTAAGACGTCGCATTAACTCCTGCCCTCTTTCACCTCCAGGTCCAAGTTAAGGGAGGGGGAGAGGTCCCAATTACAGCACAACAGCATTCATTTATAATCGGTCGGGTTTTTTTTGTTTGTTTTTTGTTTTGGGGGGGGGGTTTTTTTGGAAGTACTTTACACACGCCGACTCCTTGGATTTCACAAAGGCTCTGTGAGTTCTGCAGGGCAGGGATCATTGGCCCCATTTTACAAAGAAACTTCGTCTCCGAGAGGGCAAGGAAGGGGCTTCGCCACAGTCACAAATAGTAATTAGCAGAGCGAGGATTCGAACCAAAGCTACTGGACACGTCCAGTGTTCTTGTAGCCATCAGGCAGCTCCCTCTCTCCTCTCCGTGTGAAGGAGGTGTTCCCAGGGATCTTGCCCTCTCGGAGTATGCCCCAGGCTTCGGGTTATTTCTGTCCCTTTTATCGGCGGCCAAGACCCTTCAGCTAGCTCTGCACTTGAAAGGTTTGGCTTTTGCCTGCGGGGGATGAAGGCGGGGGTGGGGTGGAGGCTGGCAAAGTTATTTCCGAGCTTCTCTTATCTGCCTTCTTCTAACGAATTAGCCTTTCGCTTTACACACACAACGAGCTCAGTCACCTACTTTCTCCCCGCTGGGATTTAGATGGGGGGGAGGGGAATGTCAGCTTTTAACCCCAAGCCTCAGCGGGGGAGGGAAGGACTACACCGACTCTTTTGCCTACCCCACCATTCCTCCCTCCTCTCCTCTCTCCTCCTTCTCTCTTCTCCTCCTCCTCCGTAGCCAGCTCTCGCCCCTCTCCCAGATGCCTGCTCGTATCTCTTCCTCCGTCTCCCACGCTTACCCCTTTCCCCGGTGCGAAGCTACAGCTTTTGCTGCCAAGGCAGAGCAAACAAAAGGTGAACTCTGGTAGTTCCTGGGAGGCAGCGCGGCATTCTGGGCTGCAGACCTCAAGTCGGGTCGCAGCCCTGTCACTGACTCGCTGAGTGACCTTGGGCAAGTCCCATCCCAATTTCCGCTTTTGTAAAATGCTGGGCTTTCACAAGATGATTTTTGAAGGCCCTCCCGGCTCCGAGGGTCTGCGCGTCTGAATTCTGGCAGAAGAGGGTTTCGAAAGGCGGAGATGACGGGGGGAGGGAAGGTGCAGAGAAGGCCGAAGAACGGACAGGGAGGAAGACTGCGGCACCTGGGACCCCTTTCCCCTACTCCCTCCTATGGAGGTCTGGAAAAGCCGCTGCCCCCAACATAACAACATACTCCTGCGCTATCCCAACCCTCAGTCCAGGCGCTTTGCGCGCAGTCCTCCTCACTAAGCCCAGGGAGCCGCCTCTCAGAAGACCGGCCTCCGGCCGGGCGCAGGAAATTCAAGTCCCACCACTCCCAGCCCCCAACCATGTGCAAACTTGGAAACTTTTGCCCTCGCCTACCGCGGATCAGAAACTGTCGCCCACCTAGAAAAGCTTCTTTGCGAGATTTGGAGAGGTATTGGTGTTCCGCCTCTTTCTAATTAAGGATCGTTCCGGGCCAAGGGTTAAAAGGCAGAGGGATCTCGTTGCTTTGAAGAGAGACCTAGGTCCTCGTGGGGAGGGTGAGGGTGGAGAGAGCTCTGGGCAGCTCCTCTTCCAGACCCACTCATTCCAGGGACACTTTTGGGGAGGAGGGACCTAGGTCGCAGCCCAGCTAGGGCTGTGCCTGTGGCCAAGCTAAACCAGCGGCGCCCTTCAATGGCTTCAGATGCAAAGCCCATAGCGCCGCCTCCCAGGTGGAACAGGGAGAGAGACTAGCGCGGGAGGCCGCGTGAGAACGGGCTGAAACTTTCCTGCGCTGGGCTGCAGGAAAGCCCAGGTTGGAGTCCGCGTTCGGCAACGAACTTTCTGCGCACGACCTTGGGCAGCTCACTTTTCCTCTCTATGTGTCTGCTTCCTCATCTGTAAAATCAGGGATCCTAAGACGTGGACTCAAAGCTAAGAAGGCACCTTCAAGACCGTGCAGTTCAACTCCTTCACTTTACGGATGAGGAAATTGAGGCCTAGGGAGGTAAAGTAACGTGTGCAAGGACGTAGAGATAGTAAGGAGCAGAGTCAGGATTTGAACCCGGCTGCTGTGACTCCAGAGTCGAATTCTACATCACCACCCTAAGTGAACCTAGATTCTCTATCTCTACAATCCTTTTTCTGCTCTGATATTCAGTGGGCTGAGATTCGTTCCAACTCTTTCTCAGTTCTAAGGTCCTTTCAGCTCTGGCATTTTGGGATCTAGAGTCCCTTACAAGTTCTTAAATTCTATGAGCTAAAGTCCCAACCATCTCTAATATTTTCTGTTCTAAGGCCCTTTCCTGCAAGCTCTGACTTTCTCTGATTCTAGGTTCCTTTCAGCTCTGACATTCTGCGTTCTAAGGGTCCTTCTAGCTCTCGATTTCATTCTGAGGTTCCTCCCACCTCTAATCTATGTTCTAAGAGCTTCCACTTTTCTAATTCTATGACCTCACTGGATCTCCTTTCGTTTTCAGGCTTCGGGCTCTTCCTCCAGGCTAAGAGATCAGGTCTGTAAACAAACGCTCCCCAACCCCCTCCTCCTCCTTAGTCTTCCCTCTTCATTTCTTCCAGACCCTTATTTTGAAGAGTCTTAGCAATGGGTTGGTATCATCCCTAAGAGTGACTGGTTCCCTCTTTCCCCTAGCTCGCATTGGGGAGCTTTTCAAAGGAGAATGGGGTTGGGGGGAAGGAGGGTGATTGGAGATATAGCGTAATTTACCACCGGGACAGGACTCTCTGCCCACCTCTCACTGCGCGCTGGCAGTTTTCGGGCGAGTACCGCACCCCCACCCCCGGGATCGCTGTGGCGTGAGCTCATCTCTCCGGTCCTGAGGCCGATTGCGCTGGGAGGGGCCCAGGGTGGAGGGGGGTGTTGAGCTGGAGTTGCCTGGTCCCCCCCTCCCCTGCTCCTATCTCCCCTTCCACAGCCTGGGTCCCCCCCTTCTAGTGACCGAGAGGGCCGTTACCACCCGAGCGGCTGGGAGAAGGAGGTCCAGAGCCACACAGTTGGTGGAGAGGGCTGTGAAGGACGACAAACAGCAGACATAAATCCTGCTCTCCCTTTCAAACGCCGGCCAGGCAGACTTTAGATTTGCACCTCGTTAGTGTTGGGGTTAAGGGAGCTGGCTGCACCTTAGACCCCAGAGCTCATGCAACTTCTTAAGTGCCCCCACCTCCGTCCCGTACTCCTGCTTACCTTTCTCTCCAGGCTTAGCCAGCGGCTATGCTGCCCCACGACGGTAAGGCTGCTGTCCCCCGCCTCTGCCGCAGCGCCCCTCCAAGGGTAGAGGCAAAAGGTCTCTTTATCCCCGCCCGCGCCTCAGAGCCTATGGTGTAGACATCTCCAGGGCGCAGAAGGAAGAGGGAAGCTGGAGGCTCTGGTGCAGGTAGCGGGAACTACCGCTCTGTCCAACCCGAGAAACCAACCGCGAGCTAGCAGGAGGAGGAGAGGGATGGAAGTAGGGGTGGGGGTCACCACGGCTGCGCCTCCTCCCAGACAGGGCTCTTCGCCGTTCGCACCAAACTGAGCGCCCACTCGTCACCTCCCTGGCCCTTCGCCGTCTCTGGTTCCTAAGAGTACCTACGAACCTGCTTATAAGAAGCTCTGGCCGCTTTGATCCGCCGGGTGATGTCACAGTGCATTAGCATAACAAAGCGGGCCCCAGGCTTCCCAGCTAGGACAGGACTCAAGCCGGTTTGATCCCTAAGGAGAGCCCCAGGGGAGATAGGTGTGTGTGTGTGTGTGTGTGTGTGTGTGTGTGTGTGTGTGTCTGCTGGGGGATGAGGTAGGGGGAGAAACGGAGTGTGTGTAGTGGGAGAGAAGCGGCATAATAAAATGCATTACAGCCCTCTAACTTTTCATAGAATCAGAAAATTTTAAAGCTGGAAGGGACTTTCTAGATGACATAGTCCAAATCCCTCGGAGTGAGAAGGGGGCGCTGAGGAGAAAGGGAAGAAAGTGACTTACCCAAGGTAACCCGGAGAGTTTTCCTCACAACAATCTGCTGAGGTAGGTAGCCGAATTTTTATCATCTTCCTATTTTACAGAAGAGTAAACAGATGGACAGTAGTTTGTCCGGGGCCATGCTTCTAGTAATTGTCAAAACCAGGATCTGAATCTACAGTGTCCTGTCTCTAATTCAGGCAGAGTCCGTCAATAAGCATTCATTAAGCGCTTATTATGGGTCAGGCCCTGTCCTGAGCTCTACGAATGCAATAAGAGGCAAACTAAAACAAAACAAAAACGGTCCCTAACCGTAAGAAGCTCATATTCTAATGGAGAGAGATAACATGCACGTGATAATATATATACAAGAAAAATAGTGAATGTTTGGACGGTAGCCTCAGTAGGAAGTAACGGTGGGAGGAAGGGGTGGGAGAAGACATCGGGAAAGCCCCACCCACCCCAAGAAAGTGGGATTCTAACTGAGCCTTAAAGGAAGCCAGGGAAGTGAGGAGGTGGGGGTGAAGATGGTGAGCATCCCAGGTAAGGGGAACTGCCACTGCAAAGACACGGAGTCGGGAGATAGAGTATTGTGTGTGAGGAACAGCAAGCAGTCCAGCGTAGGTGGATCGCAGACTATAAGGAAGGGAGAAGTCCCGCACAGTTTCCCTGATGGGTAGTGTCTATAGTCCGCGGCCAGGAGCGGTCGAGGAGACCTGTGCTCACATCCGCCTCTGAGACGTTTATAAGTCGTGGGTTTGGATCAGAGGAACTGGCTTGCTTCTGTGACTTTCGCAACCTGTGTGACCTCGGTTAAGTCCCTGAACTTCTCAGCTCCAATCTCCTCATCTGTAAAATGAAGGGGTTGGGCCAGATCGCCTCTGAGGTCCTTTGGGTCACTAAATCTAAGACTAGAAAACACCAAGCACATGAAGTGATCAACGAGAATGAAGAGGTATCCTGTATTCCGTTGATCCAGCCTCCCACTGTCTCTGGCACAGAAAAGAACCTGGAATTGTAGGTTCTGTTTGCTCAGAACGAAATCCCAACGAAATTTTAAAACACGAATCCAACCGCTCCCCAGCTTTCCTCTCCGTGGGCCCAGGTTTCTGCGCCAATGGCTCCCCCTATGCGTCAGTCCTGGATAAATTCAGACGCGGAGACGAAAGTCTGGGATCTGACAGTTTGGGTGTTTCTCTAGACTCTTCCCCTGTGCCCCGCGCCCCTTCTTGGTCCCTGGACGGGCTGGGAAAAGAGCCGAAATAATCTTTCTCTCCACCTACTTCCCCAGCGCAGAAAACTGGGCAAGTGTCAGCTGGCCTCAGGTTAGGACTCTGACTTACTGCTGCTGTCATTATTTCTACTAATGGCTTACATTTCGATAGGGCTTCGTGGTGCTGTAATAGTAGTAGGAGTAGTAGTAGCAGCAGCAGTAGTAGCGGCGGCGGCAGCAGCGGCAGCTAACATTTACATAGTGCTTTAAAGTTAATAAATTAAGTTTAATAAAGTACTTTACTTATGTTAGCTCATTTGATCCTCACAACAATCCTGTGCCATTATTACCCTCATTTTGCAGATAAGGAAACTGAGGCTGAGAAAGCTTAAATGTTTGCCCAGTCACACAGCTAATAAATGTCTGAGGTCGGATTTGAACTCAGGTTTTCCTGACTTCAGCTCCGGGGCTTTTTCTAGAAGCTTTCCTCACAATTCGCCCAAGATATAAGTCCTGAAAGTATTATTTGCTTCATTTTATTGAGGAGAAAACTGAGATCCATTATCACAAGCCTAGAAAGTGGCTAACTTAATGGAATCCATTTCTCTGTCCCTTGCATTGAGAAACAAAGAGAAAAGGGGCTGTTGCCCTGCTGAAAAAATAGAGAAGTATCCTTCTTCCATCCAAAGTCTTCATCTTCAAGGAGGCATAGATGAGACAATCTCCAACATTCCTCTAGTTTTAAGAGGCTGAGATTTTTCAGAGAATCACAAAATCTTAGAAACTTAGAATAAAGTAATTCCATTCCATCAACATATCTACCATAAGTACCTACTATAGGCAAGGAAAACCAGGTTAGACTCTGGGAATGCAAAGACAAAAGGAAAAATAGTTCTTACATAGCTGGTAAGCTTTTTCTGCTAATGGCTCACATTTCAACAGGGCTTCCTGATGTAGTAGTAGTAGTAGTAGTAGTAGTAGTAGTAGTAGTAGTAGTAGTAGTAGTAGTAGTAGTAGCAGTAGCAGTAGCAGTAGCAGTAGTAGTAGTAG